CCCAATTATATTCTATTAGGGTTAAGAAATACTTTAAGGTGTTGATAAGTGGAACTTTCTTCCAGAAAAAAGGAGGTGTACACACTTGTAAATACTATGGAACTTGGTCGCATAGGTGTGAATTTCTGAATTCCTGCTCACTTTGTACAACTTGTTGGTTTTTCAAAAATTTTAGGTCAACTTGAGGATCCTCTAGGATCTGACACTACAACTTTAAAAAAGAGATGACAGTGTTCTCAGGATTCTTTTTTACGTTGAAATGGCGAATATAACTTTGACTTCACTTTCAGATAGTTTTTTTGTTTTGTTTTGCCCGAAGCGAGCTTGTAACTTGTAGTAATTGGAAGATCCATCGTCAAAGACAATTTTTCAGAATTTGGTAGATTATAGGAAGGAAGGAGTGATTATGTCACCAAACGTAGGCCGTGTCTTCATAATTAGTTTCACTTTCACACTATTTTATTTTATACCGCAGCTGAATTATAGGGAATGTTATTAACTAAAAATATTCCTTATAATTCTTTTTGAGAGTGCAGTGCATATTAATTAGCTCCTCTTTTAAAGTTCTTTTCTAAATAAATCACATCTTTCTTCTATTTCAGGCTCATTTTCCTCCATCATTCCATGAAAAAGATTGCATGTACGATGGCATTGTGAATTATCTGAGACGTCATACATTTCCTCCATTCATCAAACTCACGACAAACAAACAGATTGCTCGAGCGGAGTTCAGGTTTGTCGTCGACGAAATATGTTTGGGAGTTTCAAGGAACTGATAATAAGATATTTCCCCTTGTAGACTTGATTCCAGGAAAAAATGCGAATCGTTTTACATCGACCAACGAGGGGTTTTGATAGAAGGTCGAGCGGGAGGTCTTCATCGCCATGTATTGCGACGTGGTGAGCTCGCTCATGTGATGAAGTTTGTACATGAAGTTTTGGGACATTGCAACGCGGAAGTGTGGTGTGTTTATCTTATTCTCTTCTTAGCTGTTTTCTGTATTGCTATCCAAAAAATTTTGAGGAATCGAATTGACATCCCTTTCCCCTCAATTAATTTTCTATATATACCCGTTAATGTTGGCAATAACAGACACGGCTGAATTTCTGAAATTGTGAGCTTTGGTCTGGCCCAATCTCACAGTTTCTTGAAACAAAGAAAGAGCTGGAGTGAGAATTCAGATCATCCTCAACGAAAAATTAGGTTGTACATTGTTATCTCGAATTTGCTAAACACGTTACAATAAGGTAGAAAAGAATTTCTTATTAAAATTCAACTTTCGACTGCCTGAAATTCCTTGTGCATTACGAACTTCAAATTAAGGCCTTTATTTGACATATAATCTTGATCAACCAAGA